CTGAGGCTCGTCTGGAGAGGAGACTGACTCTGGGCCAGGCCGCTCTCCGTCTTGATGCCTGGCAGCATCACGCCCAGGTCTAAATGCGATCGACAAATCAAAGACACCATGTCACTCTGTCGTGCGCCCGACGGACAAACGGGGGCGCGCGTCGTGCTACCGTAGCCGGACAGTCCGTAGGCCTGGCCCGTTTGCGAGTACGTGTAGACCGCCGACTGCTGCATGCCGCCGAACTGCGGCTGGCCCGCGTACGCCGGCACGGACGAGGCGGGCGGCGTCGAAGGCTGAGGAAAGTTGCGTGGGAAAGTTCATCTTTTAAGATTATGTTGAAAGCAGAAAGAAGGGAGCCGTCGCTTTGCTTTTTATTTGGCTTTTCTACGGCTCGACGCGATACGAAGCCGCTGTGGCGATTGAGCGGCGAATCCGCTACCTGCTGAGTTGCGGTGTAGTTGGCGGGACTGGACACAGAGTTGCTGCTGGTGTAGAGGCCCGAAGACGGCGTGAAACTCGAACCTGGAAGGAGAACCCACAAAAACGATAAGTGGGAAAAGAACAGGGCAAGGCCTTGTGGCCTGAAGCGGGAAAATCAACCGACACACCGTTTCACAATGCTTGCAAACACTTTGAAGCGACATCACGGGAACTGACTGACTGACTGCTCACAAGAACCGAAACCGTGACAAAAGGAGGTGTTGAGTGTCGCTCCCGCAGACGCAAATAGGTTGAGGTTTGGTTTCAAAAAAGAAAAAAAATCGTAAAAATGAAATGAATGGAGCGGAACCGCCGGGTGACGGGAAATCGTAAAAATGAAATGAATGGAGCGGAACCGCTGGGTAACGGGGGGCGGGGGATAAATCGAGCGGCTTTGGTCAGGAGCTGGACAAAGGAGACGTAAGAGGGCGACTTACTTGGAAGGGTACAGGGACGGAGAGTACTGGTGCGCCGAGCGAGGACTGTATCCACTGCTGGTAATGACTGCAAACAAGATGATCGTCATTAGGGCCGATGCACTGCGCAGAAAAGCAGCCGTTCAAACCCGGAAAGTACGAATACAGCTGACGTGATTTGCAGGCGTGTGCGTGTACGCTACGGCGTGAAAACTGACGCCGGAAAGTCGTTCGGATGAAAAGGCGAAACGCCCGAGAAAAGGGCCGGCCCGACTTCCTCCCGCCGGGGCCAAAATTGCGGAAAGTCAACTTGAAGGGCTGCGTTTGTCACACACGGATTATTTCCCAAATACTTCCAATCCATGACGGGTTCATTTAACGGGACACCAAGACCATGACTCCCAATACAAAGGAATCATGCTCAATGCTCGAGAATACAGAAAAACAATCTCTCTGCGCTGGCGGCCTCCGACTCAAAGAGCTTTCCCATTGAGACCTTGCGCTCCCTCCCGTCCCTCCCAAATGATAAAACTTCCCGCTCTCCTCCTTCGCAGCGCCGGCACGACGTCATCCAAGGCCGAGAGGACGCGATCCGGGATCGAAAGCTTTCGGCGAGGCCGCCGCTCGGCTCGGACCGACGACACCTCCGCTTGGCGGTAAGTTCCTGGCGCCCTTGCAAAAGCGTGCGCGCGCGCGCGCGGGCGCATGCGTTTCAAGACTGCATTTGTGCGTGCTACCTGAGGCGGCGTACGAGTCCAGCGCCGCGTCGCCCGTGGTGGTCACCGCGTCACTGTTGTTCATGGGCTCTGTTTTCACTTGGAAATGAAAGTCAAGTTTGCAAATGAAGTCTCGGACGAGGCGAGCACAGAGCGACACAAGCAAACGGACAAACGCGCGCCAACATTGACGCGTCGAGCCACGTTTCCACGAAGCGCTGCCGTTACGATTGTCAGTCGTTCTGGGCAGGGCGCCATTTTGGGGAGTGCTGCTCCAACTGTGGTGAATTGAACTGGACCGCTTGGTGGAAATGTTGTTGTTGGTTGGTTTTTTTTTTTTTTTGGTCCCCTCTGTCCCCAAGTGTGTGCTTAAAATGTCATTCCATCTATTTGACCACACACACACACACACACCAAAAAAAAAAAAAGCACAGTATTGTGATATCTTGACTCACTCTAAAACTATTCAGCACTGTAGTATTTGCCTTGAAGGGGCGTGGCCAAGTGTGGCGGACAGGCAAGAGCTGGAGTCAGTTTTGCATGCGCGTTGCCTCGGAGCGCCTCCTTGCCAGTCTTCTCATTTTTGTGTTTTGGGGTTTGATTATTTGAGGAGGACAGACCGTGATTGTGGCTCACCTTGCGGTGCCTTCGTTCACTTGCGACGCAAAACAAAAGTGATGGCTTGCCAGTTGGGGCGTGTAAGTCAAGGTACCACGAAGGCTGATCAAGCAAAATTCAAACGACTGTATTAGATCAGTGGTGGGGAAACCTTTTTCCCATCTGTTGGCGCTGTACATATACTTTTTTTTTTGGCGGGGGGGTGCAGCAATTAAAAACCTGGTTATTCATTGTTCTCAGGTCTTTTTTTTGGGGGGGGGTGCAGCAATTAAAAACCTGATTATTCATTGTTCTCGGGTTCGCATTGATTTTGGGATGACGCGGCGGGTTGCGGTTTCCTCACCACGGTCCAAAATTCACGTGAACTGCGTTTTCATTGCAAAACGCAGCGTCCCAGTGAGCAAGCGGCCCCGAAAAACACTTGCCGGCAAGCTCCAAAGCAAAGCCAAGCCAATTGGGCAAAAAATAAACAGGCAAGAGTAGCCTCACAAGTGCGGCAGGGTGGGGGGTGGGGGGCTGCTGTCAGTTCACACGCATGCACCTGCGTACCGTAGTCCTTGGAGGTCGGCGCGGGGGGCGGGCTGCTGCAGCCCAGCAGCCAATCGGCCGTGTTTAGAACGCTCATGTTTTCACCTACGAAATGCAAGGCGGGGGGAGGCTGTGAGGACGCGGCCGTGGCCTTTAAGGAAGCGTTTGAAGCGAGCCGCCCCCCCCCCCCCGTTTGATCGTGGGGGAGACGCTCCGGACCCCAGAAACGGCAGACGACCGTCAGGCGAGGGGAACGTCGTTTGTTTTGGCCGCCGGTGCGCCGTCCCGCCTCGGTTCGGCTTCGGCCCCGCTCGCGGTGAGCTCATCGCCCAATGATGAAAATGTGTCGGGGGAGGTCGCAAAGGTCGGTGCGGAGAAGGCGGGCTGAGTTAGGGGGGGCCGACGACAGGAGAATATGCCGGTGGGAAGGAGCCCGCGGACGTGGTGACGCTTTCGCGCTCTTGTCGGAGAAATAGTTTCCAGTGGGATTTTGGAGCGTCTCCTCCGCGCCCGCTGCCAGGCGCTTAACGGCAACAAGCGCCTCGGCGCGTATTTACACTTGTCAGTTTGCGCCAGCGTTGTTGGCACGTCAAGGGAACGGCAAAAAAAAAAAAGATTTCGAGTGAAATGCTCTGCAAAGTTGTATCATTTCAATCGCACGCTTCCGTCCTCAGCGGAGAAGCGGGAGACGCTCGTAAAAAAGGAAAACAACGCGGCCGCTCACCTCCCGTTCCATTGGCGGTGACCGCCGAGGGGCTGCCGAGGTTGCTCTTGTCCAGCTTGGAGGCGCCGGAGTCGCGATGATGAGGACTGGCTAGGTCCTGCATGTCCATAGACCTGTTCCAAGCGGAGAAAGGTTAAGACCCGCACGGCCCAACGTTACGGCCTTCCGTCCCGCGGTCATGTTTGTTCTCCTCCTGCGGGATATCCACAAACATCCAAAGGAGCGGGAGAACAAACATGAAACTCGTGCTGAGGATTCCGCAAAACCCGCAACCACACGTCTTGCCACGGCGGAGTGTTGACTCAAGCGTGCGTGGTGAGTCTGTGAGTCACGGCACATCAAAGCCAGAAGAGATGGTAAAGATGGGGGGGGGGCGGGGGGAGAATTCAAAGAAACTCGCATGTGCGTCGCGGTTCAGGAAGGCGGGTCCGACCGCTGCCCGTCAAAGCAGCAAGTCAGCCTGACGGCTTGAAACATTTCGCTCGCGCCGGACCAGACTTGGCTCGGCTTGACAAAGTCAAACATTCCAACTTGGCTTTCACTCGCTCAATTCAAATGTTATTTTTTTTTCCAACTTTTTACTTTTTTGATCTTTTTTTTTTTTTCCATCAAAACGGTACACATGTCAGAGCTAATCGCTGTTCTGGCCCGCCTCTTTCTAATGGGTGAAAAAGTCAACTCTTGTTCTCCATACCGAGCCTTCTTTTGGGTGACTTTAGCCGTTGGTGTTTCATCAACTCTTCTTCTCTGCTCTTCGCATTAAGAGTGCGTGTCATGACTCGATATTTACGCGTGCAGATGTGGAAAACGGACCGCAAGGATTAGCGTCAAAAGAATGTGCTCGCATCCCACCCTTGCCACAGCACACACTAAGGTCTTTATGGTGAGGGGGCCAAGCGGAGGTTCATTTCCTTCGTTCCAAAAAAATGTGGAGTTGATGCTCAACCTGGCGCTCCAACAGTCCTGCTGCAAGAAACCCAACCGAGGTCACTGCGAGCGTTAGCTTGGCAGATCGAGAACAATTGTTCCCCAAAAAAAAAAAAAAAAAAAAAAAGAAGTTGTTGCGGGCAACACCCAAGACAAAACTTGGCCTCCTGCTCGCTTCATGTCCAAAAGAGACGTGTGACCGTCCTTTAAGGAACAGATATTTGAACGTAAATGCACATATTCTTTATCCACTGAGGCTATGAGCGAGGCTTGCTGAACGATGACGAGTGTCGCCGGACATCAGTCAGTATGTTGCAGCACAATGTCCGCTGAAAGAAAAATGCTCACCGTCCTTGTTTTGTCCTGATCAAGGGCGAGGCTTTCGAGTGCTATTTTAAGATTTTGAGAAAACGTTGATTTTTTTTTAAAATTGGCTGGAGCGGATTGACGGCCGGCCTTTCCGTTCATTTCTGATTTGACATGCAAACGCTTTGAGTGATCGGCGCGGCGGCGGAATGGCTGAACCTCGGATTTGGAGGCGCCGCGATTGCTTTGCTCAAACGTCGACTCACCTGCTGTTGGAAGGCTCTGGAACATGAGAGTCACGGTTTGATTTCTCGACCTGCAAATGACGCAGAGCAGAAAACATTGAGGGATTCAACGGGAAACCTCATCGTCACCTGACATTGAGCACGTTTTGTTGACTTCAATCCTTCTCTTTGGGCTGCCTTTTATTCCCGCACCCTTCCCTTGCTGAAACGCGCTTTGCCTTCCTTCCGTACGCGTCCGACATGACTTTCAAATCCGCTTTGGACTCTGCTTGGTAGTATTGGTGTTGAATCTGTGCCTTTCAGGGGCGGGGCCTAGTGAGTGGCGGCCCCGTTGCCGGACGTAAATATGGTGAGAAGTGGCCTCCAAGTTTGGACGTGAACTTTCACTTGACCTTGCCCTGTGCCCACTTCCAGCCCCTGACTCTCCTCTTTAAAGGGTGCAAAGGTCGGCGCGGGGTCGGGTTAGGTCACAGGGAGAGGGGGGCCCGTCTTCCACCTCTCTTAGTCGGCCCGCACTTGAACGGCGTGTGACATTTGCTCACGTCAGTCGGTGCGCGCCGGAGCTTGAATGCTTTATGAATGTGAAAAAGAGGGAAAAAAAAAATGCAGCCAAGCCACAAACCAAAACACGGGCCACGCGTGAGTGTGCGCACGCGTGTGCGGCCGCCACAGCGGGTCCCCATTAAAATTCCTCCCTCTTATTTGGACCAGGAACTAATTAGGACAGTAAATGGAGGGAGGGGCCACCGGCAATGTGTAGCAGCTGCCCTCTAATCGCTGTGTCAACACGCTGCCGAGGTGCGCCGGACACACACGTGGAGACGTGTGTTCCCGAGACGCTTGCCGGTCAGCCGGAGCAAAGTGCTGAGCCGAGCGGCTAGAATGCGTCCTCGGCATTTCAACTTGTTGGGCTCATCTTGGGAGCAATTGAAGGCGGCATCCGGCGTCCGCTCGGCGCATTCGCATTGATTGCTGCAGAAATGGCATCCTCCTTTTCCCACCGGTGACCCGCTCAGCGCCTGGGGGGGTCAACGCCGTTGTCATTTGGCTGTCGGCACGGTTCCGATTAGAGGCTCCGCGCCGAGAGCCCGACGAGAAGCGGCACTTCTAGCTGCTTAAGACGGGCCGAGGGGGCGCCGGGGGCCCTTGCGCGGATCGCTTTCCACGCGCACTTTCATGTCGCCTTTCATGCTTTGCTGAAATTGAACAAGGCTGTCAGTCACGGGGCGGGCGCGCGCACGCCAGAGGGAACAGAGCACCCTCGGCCGTTTTGCGCGCTTCATCCCCGGTGACGACGTCCCTCAGACGCTCGCTCTTGGCTCGAATCCTCTTGACGGAACAGGCCAGCGTCTGCCTTTGCGAAGGGGGACTCGTTCCCCCCCACGTCGGTTTCATGCTTTGGAGCGTGGTGGCAGAAGTGCCACGGCATCCGTACCGAGAGGCCTTCTCACGCCTCGGACTCTGCCGTCGAGCAAAATGGGGCAGCCCAAATCCCCCAATCGGAACTACTCGCGTTGTTCACTCTCTCTTTGGGACCTTTTTAAATGAAATGGACGGCTCACGACTCGGCCGCATACGGAGAACCGTCATTGAATTCAATGAACGAGATTCAACTGTCACGGCGGCAAAAGCGACGAAGCGCGGTAGCGAAAAGGATGCAAATGCGCATGCCGCCGCGGTTCTTGACCCAAGAAAATGGATCCCAAGCGTCCTCCTTTCCTTCATCTTGCAGAGACGACCGGCACGCCCGAAGGGAGCCTCCCGCGCGTGTCACCTGAGCCACTTTGTGCGAGGAGGGGGAAGGGACGACCTTTGAACCCGACGGCCCCCCGTGATCACAGCTTGCCTGATGCCCGCGCGGACGGAGCGACAATCCCCCCCCAAAAAGCAAGAACTCCAGGTACTTTGCGCTCCGCCAATATTTCGAGGACACGGTTTTGCGTTACGTGACATGTTCAAGCGTTTAAAGCGCAATTGGGAAGGAATGAGGCGAAATTAGATGTCATGTTGTTCTTATTCACCCCGGGCGCACACTTTTAGATGATGAAGGGAAAAATAGCCGCAAATTGCCGTCACAAACCCACGATGTCACGTCACCTTGAAATGTCCTCCGTTTTGTTTTGTGTTTTTCATCCGGACAATTTCCACGACGCAGATGTTGCTCGGCATCAAGCCTGTCGTTGTCAAATCGTATTTGGTCTTTCTGACAGCGGACACTCGATGGACCCGCACGATGCAACCAGATCCGATGCGCATCGTCTGCCTTTCCAAAATCCTGCTCCGTTTCGAGCGAGATATGAATTCCACGCGATGACTGTCAACTGAGAGCCACTTCTCATATGTTGGCTACAGGCGGTGGTCAAAATATTAGGAACCGCTACAGTCGAGCCATCGAAACCTCATTTACCCAGAAGGAAATGGATGAGCAATCCTTGTCATCGACTCCTAAAAATCCAACGTATTTTTCTTTTCAACTTTTGAACCAAAATGAGAAATGCTGCACAAAAAAAATGGAAACCATTTCACACGTTGCCAAACATCGGCATAGTGTGCACATAAACCAATGACAACAACAAAAAGACAAAGACCCACAAGGACTAACCAAGCAAGCGTCCTACCTCAAGAGTGCAGTCAGGTCACGGCAGTTGGGCACTTGTGCACATAACGCAGTGGTGTCATCCACCGGTCTGCGCTCTGTCTCTCTTTCTCTTTCTCTCTCAGACACACACTGACTGGGTCCAATTAAAAGTGCATCAAGGGTCCCGCAGGTGCCACGTTGTTCTGTGTCTCGTGACGTGCTACAAACAGACGTTCATTCCCGCCTTTCATCGTTCGGCTTTTCTAAAAAAAAAAAAAAAGTCCTCCAAAGTTTGGAAGCCCGCGGTAAAAAGCAAAACGGCGCTGTGAATAGTTAACACTCTTGACTCCACGTCCTACCGAGGCGGTCCATCCATGCACAGCTGCTGCTGTCTTCCTCCAAAGTGGGAAGCGTTTCACTCACCCTTGCTATCCCCTCCTCCTCCTCCTCCTCTTCCTCCCTCCCTCTCTCGCTCGCTCGCTCCCTCCCTCCCTTGCTCGCTCGCTCGCTCGCTTGTCCTCACACGAGCTCTCTCACCTGTCACTCAATTCACATTTGGAGTCCGTCCACTGGACAACATTGCCCCTGGAAAGTGAAGACGGATGTCTTCTGAACGTGACATACCGCAGAGAAGACCGTGGCCAAAAGAAAGAAATGGCGGGCTTTGGCGAATGAGATCGTCAAGTTGAAATAGGGAGCCCTTCTCTCAGCTCTTGAGCGACCGCGAGGCCTCGCCGGCCCGAGGGAAGATGCGTTTTCCAACTTCACGTTAGGTTGCGAGTATGCCGCAGAACGCAGTCGTTCGAGCGGTTATATGGTCGGAAGGAAGGGTGACTCAAGTGCATCGCTGGGGTCCGTCATGGCCGCGTGGGGTCAAGCTGCTTTTTGACTACCTCTGCAGTTCACCATGCGAGAGTTCTCAGTCGGTGCATACGTTTGCAGCTATCCTCCAACTGCAGAAGGTGCTCGGCAACAAAGCTCTGAACTCACTTGACAGGGTCTTGAAGTTGAAATGCAGTCTGTGTGTGTTTGTGTGATGTGCACATAAGGCACTCGCGTGAATCCCATCCATGCGATGACAATATCTCACTGTGCAGTAAAAAGTGCAGGTCAAACAATAAAATTGTTACCATGCAACGCACGCGCACACACACACACACACACTTTTTTATGAGCACCTGAACACCCCACACACCAGTCAGCGTTAAATGCAGCCACCTGGGAAGCGTGACGTCAAGCCCAATCGAGGTGTCGATGGAGTGGACGAGGACCCCCGCGCGCACACAGTTTGGCCAGGCCGTCACGTGTGCGCGAGGAGGACGACGACGTGTCAGAAGAGAAAGCGACGGACGACTCGAGCGCTTTATTCTTAGCCAGGCGGGAGCCCCCACGTGGGCCGGCGGGCCGGAGCCCCCGTGGGCCGGGCTCGCCTCCCCTGCTGAAATATTTTCACAGCAAGTGGAGAAGGCAAACCAGGGAGGTGTCCTCAAACACCCCCGAAGGAAAACTCAAACAAAACAGTGGCGCGGCGTGGGCGGATCACAGGAGGGACAACAAAACGGCTCGTATATCGGACCACTAAACGACTTTTGTTGACGTTGGAGCATTCCAAGCGTCTGCCGGCGGCGCCTCGACGACAACACGGACGCGGGCGCCCGAGCGCAACCGTGGCCGTTTGTCTCCCGGCAGACCGAAACGCGCTTCTTCGCCATTTATATCAGCGCTACTAAATCTCGCCGGACCGAGCGACTTCCGCTTTGTGGCGTGACACAGCCTTTGATTTCTTGCTTTCTTGACTTGGGGAGTGTTGTGTTCCCTTGCGGAAAGTCTGACCCAACCGAATTGAATGAAAACAAAAGCAATATATCCCAGAGGAAATGGTTTCAATGCAATTCATCAGTTGCAGACACCCGCAAATACCAATGAAGGAAAATCATTCGGCGCGTTTTTGGCAAGAATATGCCGTCAAATGACCCATTTCAAACAAAACCCGTCAAACGGCCGGGTTTGAAAATAAAAGCGAGGTCATCACGCGGCCCTTTTATTTTGAAGCCGTGATTTTTTTTGATTTTGGGGGGGGGGGGGACAGGCATGCGCGCCGCCCATGTTCAAGCTGGCAGTGTGGATGGAAGACGTCTTATGCAATGACACGATTGACGAAACGCTCGGGATCCCTGCGTGCCATGGAGCTCGTGCAAAGGCAGACCGAGTCGTGAGGAAATGATTCCGGGAAAGGAAGAGCCAAGTCACAATTTGGGGGGGAAGCAAACTTTTGATGGGGGTGGGGGGCAAGCAAAAACAAAAGAAAACAATGATCTCAAAACTTGAGGATGGAGAACCCGAGGTTGCTCTCGGCACATTTCTGGCCGCCCCACAAGCTGTCCCCCTTCATTTTGTCTGTGGCACCCACATCTCTTGCCCCCCCCTCCCACTCCCTGTGCCTCCCTTGCTCAAAACACTCGTTCTCTCTCTCTCCCTATTTGCGTGAGTGCTTCTCACCGCCGTAACCCAATCCCCCTTCCTTTCATGTAAAATACATTGTGCCTCCACTGCCCCCCATCAGTTGTGCCCCAGCCCGGAGGGGGGGGGGGGTGCTGTAAAACTATCCCTCATCTTTGTCTCCATAAATGACCGGACCCCCCCCCCTTTTTTTTTTCTTCAGGTGGACTCTATACAAGAGAGTGAAAAAGGGAGGAGCTTGATATGAATACCCTCCGCACAAAACATCCCCCCCCCCTCCTCTGTTTTTCGTCGGCCCGAGCCCGCTTTCGAATGTGCCACCTCGGGAATGTCACGGGAAAAGAAAAGAGTTTGTACCCCGGAGGAATCCGAGCTTTTGCCGCTTTTGTCGGCAAATTGCCCCGACGAGACGACCACGGAGCGAAAACCGTCGTCAACACGAGCGGTTGCCAGACGTGGCGACGTGACGTAAGGTCGACGCTCGCCGGCCACGACGACCCGGCCGGGCACATTGTAATCGGGATTGATGCGCGGTTATTATTCTCACTTCCTATACCTTTCTTGGAGATGGTTGAAAGGGATCGGAATAGACGGTGGGCGAAAACTCCAATCGCGGCGAAGGCTAAATGCCCCGCCCTGCCGTGCGGGCGAGGAGAGCCACATTTGCACTCGGCTCCAGTCAAACAGACAACTCCCAAACGGAGCTGCTGTAGGCCGCAAGTTGTCGGGACTTGGTGTTTTGGATGCAGCTCTTCCTAGCGTGCTTTTGGTCGTCCGTTTGGGTCGGTCCACCTTTTGCTTCTCCCGCCTGCCCGCTTTTCGGTCCTCCGCCGCCCACGCGCAGACGTTAACGGTCACGGAACAGATAAAAGTCGCTTTAGGGCGTCGAGCTCGTTCACCGAGCGAGCAAACTGACCACAGGCGAATTGCGCGGGCCGAGGGGGGGGGGGGGGGGGGTCTTCGGATGAGGCGCTCCGGCGAGTCAACTCAATGCAAACAAATGAAAAGTAACTGACGGATGTGCACTGGCCTGTTCCGCGCTGTTAATTGCGAAGCGTTTGGCCTCCACTGCCCCTGCCAGGCTAATCTGATGAGAGTGATTAAAAAGAGCGCGCGCTAGCGCACACGGAGGAGAAACCGACACCGGTCCACGGACCGCTAGACACATGGCAGCAAAGTCAGACAGTGGGAGAAACGTTTGCAGATTGAACAGATTGTCTACATTTCGCAGGACCCGATGATGAACGACTCCGTTGTTTTCCCTCCGTTTCGTCTGGCGGCTAAGGGGGCGGGGCTGACATCGTCACTCTTAACAAGGAGGCACTTCAGAGTAGCTCGTAGCGGGACGGCTAATTAGCACTGGCGCGGCCTCTTTCCGACATGGAAACTGAACAAACGGGGCAAGAAAAGCCAGGACGATCGGGTCGGCGCACTCTCGTCGTTCAAAAGCCCAAAAATCACGCGCCATTAGCGGGACCTCGGTTCGGCGAGCGGCAACGATCCAACTCTCGGCTCGTTTGGTTTGCCGATGTGCCCAAACGAATCCGTTCATACAAACGGGCTGACTTACATGCAGCGGTCAGCTTTGTTGAAGACGATGTCAGACCAAGGCTATGATGCAATTTTAAATGTCCGTCGGCAGATTTTGACAGCTACAGTACGCCTCACGCGTGCTGTGGCCAACTCTTTGTCGAGTCGTGACGTCTTCTTCCTCTGAGGTATGTCGTGAAATGTGTATGTGTTTCTTTGTGTGTCCGCGGCCGAACGGGATGCTTCTATTGTCAAGGCGGCAATCCGATACGCGGGCCAGCCTGACAGTGCGCGTGTGTGTGTGTGTGATGGTTGCGGGCCTGCTAAATGATGAAGAGAGCGTCACAGAGGATGGCGGGCGTTGTTGTCTCATAGCTGGCCGTCTGCTCTCCCCCGTTGCCCCATTCTTGGACTTTCCATCCGTCCGTCCTTCCTTCCTTCTCCCCTTTCACGCTTCCTCGTACCGCCTCCCCTTACTCCTCGACCCCATTTCGACCGATTTGATGAGTTAAGGCGACACGAAGTGTTTTTTCACGGCACGCTACGCCGGAGCAGCCGGCTGTTAGCTTTCATGTCGAATCTTCGCTGAGAGCAGATGGCGGGTGTGCGAGCCGCGCAGCGATCCGTCTCCCGCCTGTTGCACCCAAGCCTTCAAAGAGACCTTTTTCAAGGATATCTACCTGATGTCGTGATGTCACAAGCAGCATTATTTAACAGGCAGCTGGGAGGCCACTCATCATTTAATTAAAAGGCGTCTGAAAAAGGAGCCCGGGCCCTGATGACATTAGCTTCAATTATTCATGTGCGCGCTGCAGACGCACTCGCCGCGCAGAGACTCGCCCTTCCATCATTTGCCTCTCCGAGGAGTTATTGGCGTGTTGTTAACGGCCCGGACAAATTTGAATCGTGAAAATCGTGAAAGATGACAAATGAGCGGCTCTTGAATCATCGATTGCGCGTACAGCACGAGTTGCTGATGATACAACAAGAAGAAGAAGAAAAAGTGGCCTACATTTTCCCCGCATAAAAAGTCAGGTCAAAGGCAAAGTGGCCTCGGCACGGGCTCCAAATACCACCGCGGTTTTACGCCGCCGCGCGAACAGAAACCCGATCCCCCGCGGCAGAGGAAGTTCTCGCCGCGGGCAAGTCAGTCTGGTTCCTCGGAAAGCCACGCGCCATTTGTCGCGACAACAAGACAACGTGCTCTTTTTTTTTTTTTGAGTCTCGGATGGCCAGCTCGAACGTAAGGTGAGGCCAGAAACTCAAATGACAATCTGGCAGCACGTCGCCCAAATCTTGAAAAGTTTTGGAGTGATCACGAAAGATGGGGAACCTTGGAGACGGTCTCCACTCGGATGACCTCGCGAGCGAGCGTATGCGTAAAACAGAGAGCCAAACACCTTGACGCACTCAGCAGACGCCGGAGTGCAAATATCATGCGGTTTCCTGTCTGGTGCGTTTTCTCTCGAAAGAAAGCCCACACCGCTTTCCTCTCGATGGATTCTCCAGTCCCGTTTGGCGCGTCATTCGCAGACTTTTTGCTTGGACGGTCGACGCTGACCCGCTGACCTCGCGCCTCCGCGACGCCCTTCCGCCTTTGAAACCTCACCAGCGCCAAGCTAATTATCATGTTACACCTTTATTTTTTTTGGGGGGGGGGGGGGGGGGGGCCCGCTAGGGACGCCCCCAATCAAAAAAGAAAGAAAAAAAAAAGCAAAAGACTGACAAGGACGCTCGCCACCGGGAGGGAAAAAAAAAAGGGTGCAGTTTTGAGCCCGAGCGGGCTTTCTAAGACGGCAGGGACGCATGGAGAAACCGGCAAAGCCAAAGCAAATTTTTCTCTCGGGTGTTCATGGATTGTTGACGCCGCCCGCTTGGCCGTGAACCAATGAATTTGAATGACGACGCAATCGTGGATTTCATCCATTGAAGTGTCAGGAAACGCCAAAGAAGAGCAGCAGGTTTTGTTCACTTTCCATTTCTGTGCCAACCCCCCCGAGAGAGAGCAACGAACAAATTGAATACTGTACTCCTCCGACTAACTTGAGTGATCTGATTGTTTTTTTTGTCCGCTCGGGGTCGCCACGCTCACATTCTACTGACGTCTTTGTGACTTTGAGGGCGTATGGCTTGAAAAGGCGAAGCGACGGACGTGGGGCGCCGGCCGGCGAATGCCAATGTACAATTATTCATCGGTGAGGAAAAAATGATTTTTGCCAAGCATCGAGGCTGGAATTTTGTTTTGTAATCCAATCCTCTGAGGGGCGGCGCGGCGGTCGACGAGTCGGCGCGTCCGCCTCAGGCTTCTTTAGAGCGCAAATTAATCATTCTCAAAGAATGATGTCAATCCCATGCTGCGACGTTAGACAACAATGACACCCCCACCCCCAACGAATTACAATGCCTACCGAGGCCCCGATCGGCGGGGTCGTTTCCGTACGAGCTTGCCAAGCAAGAGCAATCGAAACACACCCAATCAGATTTCCAATCCGACCTTCATCTATGTACTTGTAAATCATGCCACCGCTGTATATGGTCAACATTTTAAAGATGGAAAAAAAGCTCCCTCAGATGAGGGTGGCCGACTCGCAGCTGTCAGCTCGGCATCAATCTCCCGCGAGGATCACCGTGCGCGAAGCCGCAACCGCAACGCGCCTCTTGCGCCGCAGCCAGGATGCCAGCCGACTCCGGGGCCGGCAGGATTTCGCCGTGACGCTGCGCTCTCCGATCGAGCGCCTGCGCTCCTTGTCGTTGGGCAGATTAAGAAAAATCTATTCCAAAAAAAAAAAAAAAAAAAAGAGGCAATGACGCTGACGAACTGTGGCGAGCGGGGTCGGCCTCCGTGTATGTTTATGCGAGTGGGACTGTATGAGGCTGTGAGGGTGAAAGAGGGGTGCAACCTGACCCCCTTGGCCTCTTCTAACTTGGTCCGCGCAGTCGCTCGCTCGCATTAACCGGGACAGCTGCCACGCGGCACGCCTCTCCCAGAACGCCGCGGGAAAACGGCCGCAACTCTAAGAACCTTTTCCCAACCGCCTCCACTTTGATGCCTTTTTTCTCCTGGCGCGAGCAACAAAGTACCGTAGTTTAGGCAGCGGCCGTCGCGATACACTGCGGCGGCACAAGAAGACACGCTCGGTTATCAGAATCCAAGTATTTCGTGCGATCACCACTTGACGACTGCGTCAGCATTGGTTCGGGATCGACAACTGCGCATTCCGACCCCGATAGGAAATCAATTCAAGTCGCGCGTTCTCAAAGTATTCGAGACTGAATCGACAACAATGGCCACGCCGCATTTGATTTCAACCGCTTCAAAGATGTGATCAATCAACAATCCGGTAATCAATGTAAGCCGCGTCGTCGGAACGCTCCCTGACGCGGTACACGCAAAAAAAGTCCTTCTCGTCAATGATTTCTAGCTGGCGTCAATGCTAAATCAAACTCGGAGTTGACACCAAGACGTCATTATCGTCACCGGGTTGGGGGTTGGTGGGGGAATTGTTAACACCATTTCGCCACAGCTAAACAAGTACGTGACAACAGGTGGAGCGGGACAGTTAAACGGGCTAAAAGTAGCATTAGCAACCGGCGTTGGCTCGGACCCAGGCTCCTTCTCGGCCACCCCGAGGGACCCCAGACGGCAGGTCGCCCCTCGGAGCGCAACCCAGCTGACGCGCGAAATGGAGGGGAGGAAGTGAAGGGCCTTTAAAGGCTAGCGGGGAGGACAAGGCGAGGGTTGGGGGGGGGGTTGGAAGTATCCGGTATCAGCAGACAACTCCCCAAAAGCGGCGTTTTCTCGGTCACGCGAGACACGCCTTTTTCAATGAACGCATTGGCTACTTTCACTACGAACGCTAAAGCTTCCGCAAGGGAAAAGTGCAGTTTGTTGCTCACGTCGTCTTCTGCTCGGGAGAATTTCCAAAAGTGCCGCTCCGAGCTAAAAAAATGAAAGAAGGCAACAAGAAGCAGAAAATCATTTGCCGGCTCACTGTTAAATTGCGATCGCGGAAGCGTTCCAACAACATGTTTACCGAAAGCCGATATGTCATCTGATCGGTGTACATTGTTCATTTGGTGAACGGATTTTTTTTTAACCCTTGCCATGCCCCACCCGCCTTCTTTTGTCGCCCTCGCCTCAGGCGACCCTCGTCCAACTTGTAAGCTGCCCGTTGACATTCATGCGGCTGCATGCGAGCGGATGAGCCTCCTTGCCTGTCACAACGTCTCTGGTCAAACAGTCAATTGAAGAGTCGAGCAGAATTCGAGTGGATTTATGACTTGGCGCACGGCAACAACATGCAACCCAACCTCTTGATGATCGTTTTTCTCTTGTTTTTCGAGAGTCTGGCCGGCTCGTCCTGATCAAATGGACGATGGCCACAAAGCGAGGAACGATTCCAAAACGAGCCTTAAAGCTCGCATTTGTCAAACCATTCAAATCTGCGTGCCGACGCCGAGATCTCATTTCCAACAGTGAATCAATGTGACCGATGCAAAGCTCAAATTTCCGATGAAAGTGATGTCATCGGCCTATTTCAAGCAGGTGGAGTAACTGAGGACTATCGAGGCATGAATATTTCATCGTGCCACAATGCCAGACAAGTCCCGTTTCTTCCTTTGTCCCCCCCCCCCTCCCCCGCACTCCTCTCTCGGCCTACTGTACATTTGAGCGGCGGCGCTCCGCCGGGGTCGGCCCGTCATTCGAACCCCCGGCGTCTCGCGGCGCAACATCAAAAGTGCAGGAAAAACAACACAGTTCATGCCTTGTGGCCCACTTTGCGCTATTATTACAGAGCGGGCTGGCGGGTCGGAGCAGCAGGGTGCCATTAGTGGGGGTAGGGCGGGGGGGGGGGCGGTCCGAGGCTTGACGGAGGAGATGAAATTACACCTGATCTGGTAGCTGACTAACAACTTTGAAATGTGAGCACACCTTGTTCACCGCCCAAATCATTTTCCCCCAACAACAATACGTCTCCAGTCTTTAAATAAGCAAAATGGGAAGGAAATGCTGATGTCACGCACAGATTGCGGTGCGGCGGCGGAGCGCTTATGTTCACTTTTGTTCATTTGCGCACACTCGGCTCATCTGAGGGACGCTGAAAACCCAAAGTTTGTGTCTTGGAGTACAAGTTGATTTCTGAAGAGTTGCAAAAGTACTTTGACTTGACACAGATATGTCTGTCATTTTTTTTCTTTGCGATATTGAATCCCTTTTAGTACAAAAATGGAACTAAATTCTCACCGCCGCACACGCGTGGGCGTGAACATACAGTAGTCATCACTTACCATTTGCTCGTTCTGGTCCTGTGAGGCCTCCATAGCTTGTGGCCTTCAAACCTCCAACTGCAAAAAATAAAAATAAAAAAAAATCCTTTTTTTTCCGGTGACCTTTAACTGGGGGCGGCGAACAACTTCAACTTATTATTATTGTCGTATCATTATTATTATGACAACCTGATGTGCTCTAAATGAGGGCAGATTCAGAATCGGCACAAAAATGTAATCCAGAGAATGCTTGCTTATCTTCTGTGTGTGTGTGTGTGTGTGTGTGTGTGTGTGTGTGTGTGTGTGTGTGTGTGTGTGTGTTGATGTGTCAGTCCGGGGTTCCATCAGTGTGTTTATGTGTGAGCAACAGGAGACGGACGGGAGGCGGCCGGCCGGCGTATCGTCTTCAGCCGAGGGCCAAGTGGAGAGATAATTGCACAAGTAAATATCAACAATGAAAAGAGAGACGTGTAAATGATCCGCGTGCTTGGCCCACAGACACACTCCAGGACAAGGACGCTGACCGGGCGACGGCATTGTGACGTGATTGTGTGACAAGGTGAGACGGATAAGATAAAATGCCCGTCATTAAAAAAACAAACAACAAAAAAAGTCTTCGCTACTGTATTGTGGTGGGACAAAATGCCTGCGAGTTACTCAAAGTCACGATAAGGATGTCAACCCATGGAGTAGAAAGAAAGACCCCCCCCACCAAGGCCTGGGGCGAGTGCCGCCTGTGAGGCCACCCGTAAACCACCAAATAACTTTGACTTGATGTCCACGAGCTTGACGCAAACACACGATCGGAAATGCCCCCCACAAGCTAACCAATAACAGACATTGTCGCTCTTTCAGCAGTGAACATTTTAACACAAACGGTGGAGCAAAACATAGAGACAGGCAGTAGAACAATACTCAAGGGCATATATCTATATCTACATCTGTATGCATGCGCAGACACCAGAAGGAGCAACAGAATGACTATTTGAAAAAAAAAATGTGGCAAAAACGATTCCATTTCTCAACACTGTATAGAATGATGGCCTATTTTGTTATAGCGTCTGATATTAGAGTGCTATTTTTCTAATAAATATTTGTATCGTTTTTTTTTTTTTTTTTTTTTTTAAATGGCATTTGCATTCACTGCTAAGGGGAGATACAATTTACGTTGCTCGTCAGCTACCTTCTGAAAGCCCTGTGACTAATTTCACTTGAGCAGTGTATCTAAATGTGGCAGGACTGACATTTCACTGCTCGATAAGAGTCAAAGTCCTTTTAATTTTCCATCGCCGGCCCTCGGCTGCAACCCAAGACAATAATGCATCTCTCAGGCGAATTGATTTTCGCGCTCGCGCCGCCGATACCGCCAGGACACGCCCTCACCTTTCTGTGGAGGACGGTCAACCTCTCATGAAATTCCTCTAACGTGAATGTTCTCTTCAAAGTTGGACCGAATCGTAGGCTTTCATTCGTGACATCCCCGCTGCCTCCATTTGGCCCGGCGGGGATGAGAGGTCACCTGACACTGCGCGCAGAATCAATGATGCCTGCCATTTCCTCCACGGTGCCTCAAGAGAGAATTGTATTTCTCAACTGTAAGGTACGCTGATTAAGGTGAGGGGCGGGGTGGGGGGGTTAGTGGGGCGTTTGGGGCGGGGTCGGGTTCGGAGGACTCGAAGGCGGCCTACAATGTGATCATATATGTTGAACAAACCGCAGGCTGAGGTTGCGGTGGAAAGGCGAGCGTGGATCGGACTGCAGCCACGACTTGAAAGTCAGATGGACTCATCTTAAACATTTCTTCCTGATATTACACGGAGATGAGGTCGCTCCAGAATAAATGGGAGGGCTAACATGGAGGCATGGGCAAATGGGGGGAAAAAAGTGCCAAAAATCAACAGAGGTGGAAGGACTGAAATATCGTATCGCACCGGATACGGCACAAGTACAACTCGAATTACATTCGACCCCATCATATTGTTTGCTCCTGATTTGAATCGATTTGGAGTATTTGCCGACGGATACCAAGTCCCGAGCCCATGGTTACTCCAGTCGAAGTTCGTTTCAACGTACCCCGTTGATACCATTTCCACCACCGCTGTAACGTTCCCATTTCACGTCGTTCATTTGCCCATTTGGTTTACACCTTTAGAGCGTCAACTTCATGAGAACGACCCCCACAAAATAGTGAAAAGGCCTTCGTTAGGACGAACCGCGGGAAGCCAACGGCCGCCGCGACCTCGCTTACGAACAAAATGTACGGCGCGGGATTCCCCTCCGTCGCTGAGCAACACTTCCAGATCGACTCTTACATTGTTGTACTTCCGTCTTTGTGGGGGGGGGGCTCAATTGTGTTCATTGATGCTTAAAATAAACCATGAAGACCTGATGCTGTCTTGGTTTACAACAGTAAACCTCTCCCTTGTATCTCACACACACACACACACACACACACACACACACACACACACACACACACACACACACACACAGGTCATTTATTCCAAATACTCCAGTGAGTATAAATTATATTAGTGCGTCCCACAATCCTTTACAGTATTTCCAGAGCCGAGGAATGACATCTGCACAAGTCATCCCGGTTATGCATCTATAGCCCTTGAATTTATGTCTGCTCCATACGCACGTGAAATCTAATCTGGCAGCGTGCGGATTAGCAGGCGGTAGCGCCCCCCGCATAAACCGTGATGTCGTCGAAGGCAGGCCAGAGAGGTGTTCCCGTTTCCTACATATCAGGTAGGAACACGGATGCCAAGTGGGATGAGAAATGGCCCGGGGGAGCTTGTCCCTCCTCGTCCACATATTTCGTTTCGCTCATCCACTGATATTAGGACCACCGAATACGTAACATCCATTTGAGCACGTGGGAAGGCAAATAAAGATATACCTTGAATGATGTGTCGTTGAAAAAAGAAATGGACCAATGACTTGATTCAATCATTCCTTTCAATTGACCAGCAATAGTAAAACAAATCAACACGAAACCAGGATAAGACAGATGGATGTCACCCCCAATATCAAGTCCAAATACCCGAGTGAATTTTATGAAATAAATGCCCCCCTAAAATAAAATGTAAATATTTAAATGAAAAAAAGTTGAAAAAAAAATTCTCAAATGGTGCGATTGTTGTTTATTCATTAAAGGGTTTCAATATTGACATGATCATAAAAAAATAAAATAAAAATAAAATTTAAACAATCATTTAAATGGAAAAATTAACCAGAACATTTAGCTTGATAATTATGACATATGAGTGTCACCTCAAATGTCCAGTCCGGAATGTCTGGTAACGCCACCCCCCGCCCCTCCCCCCCAATAAATAACTTTACATGTGGTCATTTAGATTTTTCAATATTTTATTTATCTTTTGTTGTCTTTCTAAACAAACAAAAAAAAAGAATCAAGTTTTGATATTTAAGTAGCCGCTTTTTGAGGTAACAATAGTATGACTAAGCACTAATTTCAAGTCCAAAAAGTTGGTGAACACTTTAAAAACACTTTAAGTGCATGTTTAAATAGTGTCAAAGAGTTGACACACGCACACACACTTTCTAACGTGTAAATGACCAGTTGTACAGATGTTGATTTTTTTATATAAAACAAAAAGGCAATATTCTGTAACAGTTGTGTAGACAATAAATATGTACATGATATATTTTACCACTAATAATAAATACTCAATGAATATTTGTGAAATGACGTTACATTTTAATACAGAGGTTTGTTCATTATTATTCCCGATGATCCCCATGTTTTATTGTATCCAGCACACTGTTGTGAAACGATAGATACATGAAGAAATGTTCTACCTGTGCTGTGTCACCAAGTGGTCTGCCTGCTCTCGGGTCCGGTTTACTTGCTGGTGCAGCTCATCATCGTGACAGGCTGTCAACCGCATCGGAGCTCGGAGTCCCCGAACAAACTCTGGACGCAGCAACAAGCTGCCAAAGTCGACCGACCTTTGAGAAAGAAGTGGACCGACAGCAGCCGCGACGCGGTACAACTTTGCTCGGAGTCGCAGTCCCAAGTCAAGTCCAAGTTGGAGGAGGCAGCGGGAGAGGCGCCGGGGCTGCTCGAGAGCCATTCGGAGCCAACTTCGTGATTGACCAAGTGAGGAGCCCCGCGGCGCGTGCGCACTGGCGACGCCGACTCCGAGGGCCAAGTGAGCGATGGGCTCAAGATGGAGGCGGGGGAGAAAGAAAGGAGATCGCCGCCGAAAAGAGATGAGCCCACTACTTCTCGTCTTCGAATTGCGGTAGACGTCTCGCTTTCTCTTCGATGCCATTGCGCACAATACACCCTAAGCATATCATTTCAGGCCAATTTGACTGACGTGCTGAGTTTTATTGAAGCCACCTGTGTTGCTAGCTAACTGCTTGCTACTTCTTATTCGGTGTCAGTAATTGAGTCGACACCTCACACGAATTGAAGTCGTTTTGATGGTTCTAATCCAGACCGTTTCATAGGTATGGGGGGTAAAATTTACAAGATTTATTCCCCTGCACGAGACTGGTTTAGCGAACGGATACAATTCCAGTGATAGCCGAGTGTCACTTTCAATGACTTCCTTTCAGTTGACGAGAACACGTTTGGAAAGCCTTTTTATTGGAGATTTTAAGTCAACACTCGAAGCATCGACGTGTTATTGACTGCGCTGTTAATATTCCTTCCTTTTCAGCCAGCCCCGAGCTGTTGGCCAGGATGGGAAGATTCATGAGACCTGTGCCGAAGCCAACCAGCGGCAGCGGAGACCGCGGACCGAAGATGATACCGCAGCGTCCTGAGCTTGAAGCACAGCGACGGGTAACGTTTGTGCCGGTGGCCAAAAGGAGATACTTGGTCGATACTTAGGCCAAGACTGGTCAAAGTAGAAGTACCCATTTTTACAATTCACGCCATTCAAGATGTTTTTATCATAAGCACAGTGAAAACACAACGGTAGGTAATTCTTACTTTGCACTTATCCAAAGTATATAAATGATGACAAAAAGAACAAGTTGAAATCATGAAAGGTAAACAGCGAATGAAGGGGGTGAGCTTTGCAAGTACACAAGAGCTACTTTTTTTTCCCCTCCGCTGATTTCAGCAGTAGCCATAGCCGAGCTAATGCAAAAAAAGCTATATAATGAGCATTTGCCGATTAAAGTATTGCAGGTTGCGGAGCTATTGCGCACTGTAAATCTTCAGGTGAGCGGGATTACAAAAGCTAAATATTGCACTCTGTGGCTCATGGATTGTGATGTGTTATTCAGGAGTCTGCGTATGGGCATTTGATCTTTACAATGTGTATCGCGATTAAAACAAACAAACAAAAAACCCCAACAACTTCTGTCTATGAACCCGGTCCGTCAAGATTTACACGTCGTGGCCAAATAAATGAGGAGCACAAGCTGTGACAGAGCCCGAAATAGCAGGAAGGCGCAGCGGCGACCCGCCCCCTGGAATGCCGCGTGTCAGGCGAGCTTTGAACACTTGGCAGAACACGATGCACAAAGGAAGCACGTCCAGGTGTTTTTGGAGGTGTCAGACAGTGAAATTTCAGATGCGCCCCGATATTTGTGAGGCCAGCTGTTCTCGCCAGGGCCGGGAGCTCAAAGCCCACAGCCTACCCACGCAAACGCCGCAAAGCCAATCACGGCGCTCCCTCTTCTCGCCGGGCCTCAAAGAAAATGGCCGCCGGCTCTCCGCTATTTATACATGACGCACGGAGCTCGTGCTCGCGCCGTGCCGCGGCGCTGACGACGCAAAACGAGAGGACGCTTCCAGAAAGTCCAGAGTGTCAGGGTGCAAAGATAAAAATACCCAGCGAAAGATGGGCCCCGCCCGGCCTTTAGTCGCGCAGCCCGGCATGTGACACGGCAGCGTTTCAGACGTGATTTATACCTGATTATTACTACCGCCCGCCGGGACCGCTCCCACCCGGCGGCCCAAATTCAATCGGCCAAAGAGGGATATTTCAGGCATCTGTGCATGGAGCTCATTCCGGGCTGACATTTTTGCTATTGGCGCAGAGTTGGCCCTTGGGCGTTGGGCACCCCATCGGGTTCACCTACGAACTTTTTGGGCAATACTCCTGGAGAAAGAGGGCGGGGCCGGGGCCGGGTCCGGCCACCTATTTCCAGGATGCTTGGCTTGATGTGGAGGCAATGTTTTTTTTTTTAGGGGGGGGGACATTCAGTTTAAGAACGTGTCTCCAGAGACTATTCCTAAAATTTGGTCATTGACTTTTCGTCATCTTATGGCAAAATTTGAAAAATCACGACAATTGTAAGATGTAAATCAAGGGCTGCAGGCTTCCGTAGGACTTCTCGTGACTCTGGACTTGGGTGTCGTGATTTGAGACATACGTGTGCGACCTGCATCATTGAAGCCATGAATCATTATGAGGCCATCCTACACTGGAGGAAGGCTTTCTCTCTCTCTCTCTCTCTCTCTCTCTCTCTCTCTTTTGTCGTCCAAGCCCACGCTGACTCTGAACCTCTGCGGCAATCCAGCTGGAATGCCTGCTATGTTGTTTCAGCTAATGAAAGAATAAGGCAAAACAAACAGAGAAGGGGAGAAAATTAAAAGAGGAGGAGGGAGGGAAGAAAACATGGCGAGGAGGAAATGGATGGAGACGGGGCCACATGGCCACCTCCGGCTCAATTCTTATTCAGCTACTCCGTTGCGACCACTCTTTCAGGATTGTTTGTTTTTATTGTCGACACATCAAGCCTTTCTTTTGTTTTTGTTTTTTTTTTTAATCACAAAAAGAGAGAAATGTAAAACAGATTATCCTTTAACCGTGCTTGAAATAACAGCAATGAACTCTCTTGAATGTCTACTTGACTTTGCTCTTGTGTTTTTTTTTTTTTTGGGGTGGGGGGGAGATTCACTTTTCATTTGGAGGCTGAGTTTAAGCATCCTGCGTCCTCGCCCGTCATTATCACGAAGGCGCCGTGTGCACACGCACGCACGCACAGGCTGTTCGCCGCTCACTCCGGTCTGTGTAAGGGTGCGGGTGCAGATTGAACGTGTCACTGTGGACCTCACAGGAGGAAGTACGCTCTGGGTGGATTGAATGCAGCTAGCACGCACGCACGCGCGCGCGTGCGCATGGCAAAATGGTCAAGTGCTTAGATGAAGTGCTGTCTGCTGTTCTCTCACTCTGCAATCCTCCTGGGAGTGGATCAATAGTCGCTCAGCATCAGGTTACCGTTAATGTCTTCATCTCTTTTAACCAGGCACTGAATGTGTGTGTGTGTGTGTGTGTGTGTGTGTGTGTGTGTGTGTGTGTGTGTGTGTGTGTGTGTGTGTGTATATATACCACAATTAAATGTCCCAGATGGCCCAGGCTCACAGCGCCCCCTAGGGAGACTCGTCGGAAGCACCGATTGAGTCGTTTACGCCGGGAACGATGAATTGACTTGAGCAGGCTTGTGCCTTTTTCTATCGATTGCCTGGAGGGCCCTCTTCCCCTAACCATTCGGGATCATCCGCCCGCATCTGGGCTCCAGGTCCACGCTTGGAATTATGCCGTCGGATATTTAGCGCTGGAATCTTTACACGTCACGTCCAGCCGAATGAATGCTTGCACGTAAAGTGGATTGTATCCCGACAGAGATAACGGACGCTTGTGACTGGGGGAGACCGGATGCGTCCTTGCAAGTATGGTCTTGAGAACGTCTCGAGGTTGCTTGGCAGTTTGGAGGTTCTTCTTTCAGAGTCTCCAGGATATCAAATCGGTTTTGCGGTGCAAAAGTGACGTCGGTAACTGGAATCGGGCTGGCCGCTTCGTCTGCGTGTGAGTCCGGGTGCGAGCGGTGGCCGACGGCAACTCCTTTTCGCAGTTTCGCCGGTGCCGTTCACCAAACGGTTCGAGGCTCATCCTTTCATTGTGGAAAAAGATCAGTCAATAGGAATAGACGGGAGTACATTGAATTCCAAGCTTACTCAGGCGAGACCATACAATCCCGTACGTCATGTTGGCTGTCGTGAAAGCGCTTGACGGAACATTTCACATCGAGCAATCAGAATACAACAGATGTCATCAAACGATGACAATCACACAATCGTAATTTGTACATTTTGTTTTGTTCCTGAACCTCGTAAACGAAGGTTCCGCTCGCCGCACCGGGATCGAAAAAGGACTTTTTACACCTTGGTTCCGAAATGAAATCTGAATGAATCCGGTTTCAAACGACAACAAAGAGGGGAAAAAAGGCAAAGACTTTGGCGGTTGTCCTCCTTTCAGTACTTGTCGTCCCTCCATCCCAATCAATCTCCCCCTGCTGCCTCCCCCATGCCTAATGCACTCTTTCATGTGCTCTCCCGTTACGCCGAGGTTGTCCCCCGTCTCCATCACCCTCCTGTCTCATTGCTCTCTTTTGTAGCATTTTGGGGGAGTAACGTGATCCCCCCCGCTCCCAATTTTCTCCCCCAGGGTGGTCCTTTTAGGGGCGACCTGGCGCTCGAGTGGTTAGCGCATTGACCTCGCAGCGCAGAGGTCGTGGGTTCGATCCCGGCTCCGTGGAGTTTGCGTGTTTTCCCCGTGCCTGCGTGGCTTTTCTCCGGGTCCTTTGGATTCCTCCCGCATTCCAAAAATCTGCACGGCAGGCTGATTGAACGCTCGAAATTGTCCGAGGTGAGAGTGTGAGCGCGGATGGTTGTTCGTCTGTGTGTGCCCTGCGATGGGCTGGCAACTGGTTCAGGGTAGGGTGTTGTCCCCCCGCCGACTACCCGATGACAGCTGGGATAGGCTCCAGCACCCCCCCCCGCGACCTTTGTGAGGATAAAGCCGATCGCAAAATGGATGGATGCCCCCCTTTTATTTGAATTGTTTTGCTTCTTCACTGTTTTGTGGTTTTTTTTTTTTTATGCTTGCAAAGAAGACCTCAACGACTGTTCCTCACTCTAAAATCAACTTTTTTGGTGCGTAGCAGCCGGACAGCCGCCCGACTTTCCGGATAACCCCCGGGGGACTTTGGATAACTTGTGTAACTCGGTCTCCGCTACCTGCCAACTGCTGTCTCACACACACAAAGAGGCAAATTGAGCAAGTCTCCAGTCAAGCGTCTTTCACTGCAGGCTCCAAATTGAAGCCGATCACGAGGACGAGGATTAGGAGGAAGGAGGGAAGAATTGAGAGACAGCTAATGTCCTCACATACCGACAACCAACAAAAAAGCTTCAGTGCTCAACGGGGTCATCGCCACACACACACACACGCACACACTCTGGTAAAAATAGACTGAAGGGAAATCAAGGCTCATTTGTCATCTCTATCAGTGTCAATGTGTTTTTTCTTGCTCATAGCCAAACTGGAGCTGAACTTAAACGTTCTGTCCAATGATAACAAATTCAAAGTCCCATTCTTCACGCACGCACGCATGCGCACAGTCAGCGGTGAGTCGGAGTGCATGGAGGGAATGCTGCGGTCACACCTGGGAATACTCTCCCGGCCAAACCGCCCAAGGTTTTTTTTTCTCGCGCGTTTGCCGTTTCCTCTCTCGCCGAAAATGACATTGACTTGACTTTTGTTGGCCTCTGGGTTTTCCAGGATGGATACTTTTTTTCGGCAGAGAATTTGTTTTTGCGCTCGACTAACGCATACTAAGAGCGGAAGCACGGGGCATCTATATGACCTGCCGTGCAATTCAAAAACAAGTCCAACCACCTCAACCTGTGCCAAACGGAGTCCCGCGGGGATCAATATCCATTGACTTGCAGTTTTTTTTTTTTTTTAATCTCGCGACGCGTTCGTATATCACACATGATCTGGCAATGCAAATTTCACTTCTGATTTGATTGGGATTAAAGCAGGTTTGAGAGGTGGCGTTAATGGCTTTCAGACCGGCTCTAATCCTTATTTAATGAAGGCCTCACAGTGGGCTGGCAGGCCTGGACAGGAGCCCGTCATGACTCAAGTGGACATTTGGGCAAACACTCCACCGGAAGTGGAGTGTGTGTGTGTGTGTGTGTGTGTGTGTGTGTGTGTGTGTGTGTGTGTGTGTGTGTGTGTGTGTGTGTGTATAAGAGTAGTAAGCATACATGTATAAACAGCAAAAACATCGATGTATGTTAAGTTTTTAATGCGGCTGATCTTATCAAGAGGCTCATTCTTGACTCTGTGTTTGTGTGTGTGCGCGTGCAGTCGTCGCCATGCTCACTTGGGTGCGCATGCTCTCACTCCCCATCGTCCCTATGTAACAGGAGCCGCCCCCCCCCACCCCCCTCCTCGTCCACCCAGCCCTGTCAAAAATAAAAATCATTTGTCCGCTGTGTGCGTGTGTCCATTAAAAATGCATGGCGTTTGAGGGGGGGGGTGGGGGTCCGTGATCCTCAGGGGACGAAAGCTGACACTCGGCTCTCCGGAAGGGCATCGGTGGTGGACAAATGGCATCCAAATAGAAAAGTGGACAGAAAGGGGGATCAATATGTCCAATAAATAAAATGGCGGTGTGTCCCTCAGCCACGGCCAGGTTGCACCCAAAAAACGGCCCAACGTCCATAAATGAATCTTCATGCTCTACTCGATCAGATTGCTTGACGCCTCTCCATTAAAGGCAATCATATATGAATATAGACACACACCGTATATTTTTTTTAAACAGTGTAATTGTTATCACACACGGGAAAGGAGGGCCACAGTGGCAAATGCATTTTCATTGAAGCCAGCAGAAGAGCAAAACACTCCTGCAGAAGCTGCTGTTTGCCACAGCTCACACACAGATCTCACATGCAACCCCACCGGGCCCCGCCTCTCAAAGGCGCACGCATGTCAACGTACACTCCGATAGGCACGTGTCTTTGCTTGTACCGGGGATACACATGACTGAGTGCCTTCTTGGTCAAATGAGCGGCCCGCAGAACAAGTTTGGCTGGAAGACGCGTTCGTGGCCCGACGTGTGAAAAATGCTCACGCCGAGGACTATCGTGATGCCACTTGTATTGAGTGTTGTCAAACGGGGGGCCGTTTTTTTCCCACTAATTTGTGTCCCCGCGCTCTGTTTTCCGCTCTGGGCTGGTGTGGAAAGCACTTTTTTTCCTTCTTTGCTTCACTCCATCTGCTTCCTATAAGCCTTTTGGAGGGGCAGCGGCCATTTATTCACACACAAGCCAAATCCCCTCCCCGGCCAAACAACCCAGTCCTTTTTCAATAGGGTGGTCAAATCTGGACCCAATTAAACAGGGGACCCCCACCCCCTCACCCTTTTTTAGATTTCCTTCACACCCATCTTGAGGAAGACCCAAGATTAGAGGAATATTTTTCTTATTGCCGACGACTTATGCAGAATGCCACAGGATAATAATTGAATCCACGTGTGGACCGTATTGGGTGGGACGACAGTGGTGGCCAGTCGAGAACAGCATGGCGTTCTCTGCTTTTCTCAATTGGTATTTTTGTGCGATGATATTCATTTGTTCTCAGCTGCCGAGCGTTTGTATTGCTGTACTGCTTCCCTGAATGGACATGAGGGTTTGTTCTGTTGTTGTTGTTGTTGTTGTTTGTCCAGTCAGATTTCATTGTCCATGTGCTGCCATGCCAATCTGCCCAGCCACAATCAGTGGCCGAGGATGTTGTTTTGGCCGTTTTGGCATTGGCGCAGTTTCTTGGACCAAGCGCAGTTCAAATTCATCGATGCAGGGCCAGAGCGCTGGCCCTCGCTGATGTCGGACTTTCCCCGTCCTCTGATTGCTTGGTCAGAGCGGCACTTGTTACTCGGACCGGAAAAACACACCATCTGTGCGTACTGTACTGTATGGGTTTTCCGTTTTAGTTGCATCCGTGACTACCTTCCGTCCATACCGGCAGCTTAACAACGAGTGTCAAATATGGGCACCCTTGCGTCCTGTGTTTTAGGTTCGCTGCTTTCTGCAGGTGCCGGCCGGGAGTTTTGAAGCCACTTTGAGTTCCAGAGGTGGACGCTGAATTGCGGTCAAATAAGCAAATGTCACCTATGAGCGATTTCGGCGAGCTGCTACACTTGATAAGCGCTAATGCAGGTGTTCGCACAGCCACACCATGCCATGCTGCTCCATACACACCGCCACTGGCTTCTTGTTTAAACACACACACACACACACACAGGGGGATTAGCTTCCTCACAGGACTCCACAGTGAGAGCTTGTGTTCTGCGCTCTTCTATACGCGCTGACCCGTCACGCTTTGGCTTCCGGCGAATGTCGTCGGGGAATGAATGGCCACTTGTTGGGACACTCGTATGGAATCCCGCTTGTCTGCGCCCGATCATTCTAAGTGGCGTTATTATGAAGAAAAGCGTCAGGAAATCAAGTCATCTGGTGTCGCGAGTGGGCTGCGGCGCGGAGGCAAGGGCAACTGGAAAAACAGACGGCAGGTGATTGTGATTCATGTCTTCCTAATTGTAATGGACTTCAATCCCGTAAAAACAACACGCGGGGTAATTGCCGTGCACACGCGGAGCCCCACGCGGCGCGTAATTGTGCCCACCTGGTAAAACATCATTTAGCGCGGCGCCCCTTTCCGTCGACTCACACTGCTCTTACCACGTGCATTGTGTGTCGGGGGAGTGACCTCCTTTACCCTTGGCCGGCGCTTTGATCCCCATCGTTGGATCGGACCGTCCCAAAAATCAGCCTTGGAAGCGGCTACGGACAAAACTTGCGCGGCGTCACAGCTCTCAGCGGTTTGGCAGATCAGAACAATTCTTCCTAAAAGAGGCTTCAAGATGGTTCATGTCAAACGAAACAAAAACCAACGATAAGTGCATTTTGTCTATTTAAAACGACAACCAGTCTGCTCGTTTCATGCTAACGCACACAGGTCAACGACTTAGCGTGACGCTTTAAGCAAGTGATATTTGACCGCAAACATGACATGAACGCATGCAGGCGTACAATTGAATGCTATGCTCAGGCATGCATTCTTCATCCCAAAACAAAACTGCTTTTTGCGGCTGGCGAGATGACTTGCACGGGGTTGTGAAACGACTGCATTGTACCGCCCCCTAGTGGCCAAGTCTCAGGCACCGTAACAATGAACAAGAAGACGATGCACAACCATACCTGTAGCTCGTATTTCAAGGCACTCGTGTATTCGCAACAGGTCGGTTTCTCAAAGCAATCCGATTTCAAATTCGCCACAATGCACCAGCAGCCACCGTGAATGATGAGCCTCCCGTTGTTGACCGCCAAGTCTCAGGCACCGTAACAATGAACAAGAAGAGCAATGACTTCATGACGATGCACAACCATACCTGTAGCTCGTATTTCAAGGCACTCGTGTATTCGCAACAGGTCGGTTTCTCAAAGCAATCCGATTTCAAATTCGCCACAATGCGCCAGCAGCCACCGTGAATGATGGAGCGATGGGCCCTGATATTATCCTCCTCTGTCGTCTTCTAGCGGCACGTTTCGGTGCGGCGCCCTCCGTGTGATGCTGCCATCCTGTGGTCGAAGGGGAGAACTTCCGCCGAGGCTTCAGAACGACCATCCAGCTCAACAAGGACCCGTTGGAAAACGCAGTACAAGTATGGAGAGAAAACGTTTTTGAAGCTTTTTGCTGTGTCCCCCTGCAATGTTCTGATCGGGTCCTTTTCAAGTGAGGATTCATTGACCGAAGAGAAATAGCTACCCCAGCGATGCGGAAGCAGTGTGACGAGCAACAAGCAAGCTCCTATGGAGGTATGTGCAATGTGGATTTGTGTGTGTGTCTGTGTGTGCATGTGTGTATGTGTTTGTTTGGTTTTAATGTACGTATCCGTCCGTCCATCCATTTTCAACACCGCTTAACCTGAGCAGGGTGGCGGGATTTGCCGGAGCCTATCCCAGCTGACTACGGGCACACCCTGAACTGGTCGCTGGCCGGTCGGTCGCAGGGCACACTTAATATCTGGAGTTAATTCAAAATGGAGCACGGTTCTTTGCGGTGTTTGACGTTATTTTCACATGACAGGGGTGTCACTTTTTTGGGTCGGATTTCCTCCGAAATTCTCACGGGAACAAGGAGTACAACAAATGACAGCATCAGCTGCAACAAAATGTGTCTCGCTCCCTCCCTCTTGCCTTTTTTTTCCCTTTTGGGCTGAGGTCCAACTAAACTATTAGCAAGTATGGGAGTCCCTCTTCCACTTCTCCCCTCCCTCGGGGGGCAGATGGCCAAGTTTACTTTCTCCCAGGTGGTCCC